TATTTATAATTTATAAAAATGGGATTCTCGATATTTGATTGCGTTTTTTTTGTCACTCAGTTGAAAAGTATTTAAGCTTACATAAAGTTATATCTTTTCCACGACAGTCTTTCGAGCCTCCCAGACCGCAGAATGCCTGTTCAAAACTCATGACTGAGCGTGATTAATGCTGAATCGTGATTGCGTCGTGGCCGATACAGTCTGTTGCGTTTATCTAGGCTGGTAAACAAACCAAGAACTTGCATGTCATTTTTCCTAAACTGCTAATCCGCTTCCTGGGAAGAATCCTCGAGATCAGATTTTAAAGTTGGTAGTGTTCATTAAACAAGCAAACAGTCTGATGCAATGGTACCGAACCGTGAAGAACGGAATATCATCGAGCAAAATATGACGTTTACTTGCAAAACAGCATCTGTTAAAAAAATACGATGAAATGAACTTTTATTTTATGTTAATTTTCTTTACTAATAATTTCAATTATAACGAGCAAACGTGAACTAGATTGTTCGATCGAATTTTCTATACTAATGTTAATTTCCATATGTAATTCGCTGTTCGAATAAAATTGTGCTCGAGTTTGGTTCACGTAGAAGAACCCCCCTTATTCTCGATGGTGTTCACTGAAGAATTTTACTTTTAATAGTAACTGTTGACACTCCAGTGGGGACCAGGCGTTACTCGTTGTTCCCCACGAGGTACACCACTTGTATAAATAAAACACATTTATAATCAATGTAGACATATTCTACCATCATAAGTAACGATAGAACGGTGTATGAATATTTTGCATTCATACAAAACAGAAAACAGTAATACATACATATTAAAATTGTCCAAAATAATAGAATTTGCAGAAATTCCAAAATGCAAGACTGCTCGGGTCTCCAACATATTCGAGGTACAAGGCTCGACTATAAAGTAGGATTCTTTTCTTAGTTCAAGAATTTTGAACGTAAAGGGGATTTCATTTTTTTCGAGACTCGTTTTTCAAACGATCCAGCGCGTAAAGCAAGATCCTACGTATTTCGAAACGCTCGTAACGAGAGTAAAATCAACCGATGTTAAAAGTTTTGGGAAATGCTCCGAAACATGTTTAAACATCGAAAAATCCGGCAATGTGTCGAAATATCAGCCAAGTCCAAACTGTTACTTAAGAGAGAATCCGATTTTTCACGGAATGACCTAACTATGCGATAAAGTCGACGTTGTCGCACGCGCCAAGCAACGAGTATTCGTCCCTCTGATTAGATTAGAGCATGAGAGAATCCACGGATCTTGTTGTCATCCGGTAGTAGTTTGCATCATGAACAACAGTCAGTGAACGGAGGTCAATGTGGTTACTAAACTCATCGCAATCTATAAAAATGAAACTGCAACTTTGTTTGTAACATTTTACCAATCGTTTTGGATTTCTTTTGAGATTTGTGGAAATATATCCTGTAAACAATTTTTGTTACCAAACAATTTCTACCACTTTCCTTTAACGATAGCGATTCGATCTGATTGCATGAAGCGAGTTAGTAGTATACAGCGAGCGCGACGCTACTTTTTGACGAGGGACTCGCGTGTCAGGGACGACGCTCACGTTTTTGCTGGCTGATTACGACGACGACGTCGAAGAAATATGCACTTTTTATACAGCCACGCGTCGTTACTATAGATTGGACGGTCGTCGGAATCGTTCGTTAACTCGACGCCACTGGCCACAAGACGATGATCGTTAAATTACCGTGACCGTGGCTTTTTTCTTTCGCACGACGATAATTAACGTTGTGCGTGGCGTTTAGCTTTGCGGTCGATTGTGACGAATCGCGTTGAAACGAGACTATAGCGAAACAATGACTCCTTGATTCGAAAATGACCTAGGCAGAAGCAGTGCACTCTAATGGAATGAATTTTATAGATACTACACACAATACCGGTATTCAATTGCGTCCCTTACCTTGCTGAAAGTGACTATTTTATGACGTTACCGCCGAAATAAAGTTTAGAGTACTTCAAGATTATCGAAATCAATTCCCCCTTCTAAAAAAATGAAATTTAAGAAACTTATTCCTCACACTTTACAGGAAACTTTTGCTCGATATTTACATAATTTTGCAATTTAGTTTTATCAATATTGACTGACTCCAGTTTTTTAAAAAATATTTGTTAACGTAGTCCATACTTTTATCTATGTGCAGATAAAATGTATTAAACAGGCTAGCTGAATATTTTAAATATGTCATATTTATGTAACGCGGGTCTACAGTTCATACTTTTATTTGTTTATACGGGCGTAAAATATAAAGTAATCGCTGTTATGCATGTGCGACGTCGTTCTCTGACGAGAATCAGTGGTAGCGGACGTGTCGATGAATATTTTATTTTTATTTCATCTCCATCCTCTACAAAAACAATTTAAAAAAAAAACATTCTATCGTACAAAGAAAAAGCTATTTTGCCTAACACTGCGAGAAACATGGACGCTCATTCTTATCGACTCTTGTTTTCATTGCGAAAAGAATAATAGAGGGCAGTTAAATACTGGATAACTAAGTTATTAAAGATACTGACCCTACGAAGAAACGTAGAGTTTCACGTCAACAAGAGGAACCATTCCATCGAGTTTAGCGATTATCACTGACCGTGAACTTTCGTTCCCTCGTGCGAGTCGAATCGCAGGTCGTTGCACTCGTCCTCCTTCGAACGGAACATTTTCTAAGATATACAACTTCTACACCAGTGTCAGGACACTGTCTACTGTTTCTTCTCTGTCATCCAAGGCATTGTGTCGTGCGCGTAAGCTTCAATATGTACGATACGCGTAGATATCTACTTTCAAACTCAACAACGTGGGATACACTTGTGAAAAGAATGCCTTGGAACTGATAAAAATGTACCCCTCTGATCCTGTCGCCCAGTGTCAGTTCGAATCACCCTACCTACTGCACACGCAGTCGAATTTTATTTTTTCTCGCGGGTTCCCGACAATTTAATGGTACCATCTACGTTTCTCTGAATTTCCAACGCAAATAATGTCCTTTATGCTGCATCTGTTGTTGTCTCTGGGTGTGTTGTCCCGTTACGTCCGCGTCGCGTCGATGCCGCGCAGCTCGCAGAGGTTCCCGCGTCGCGTGCCAAATATTTCTCTCCGCTGGATTGCGTCAGACATTTTCGAGCGTGGTTCACGCCATAATCGTGCACGTAGCGTGGAACGGACGTTTACCTCGTTCTCGACGTGGTTACTGCTCTTCGATCGACCGAGATCTCGCTTGTGCGCGCAAGCTGACACGCGCGTCGACCCGACGACGTCGACACGGCCCAACGAAACGCGCGATGTCCGACGCCATTCCATGTGCCGCAGGACGCATGTACAATGCAGGTCGTTGACATCCACCCACCTGCATCGCGGCAAATGTATAGCGTGCTCTGGCCTTGACACCCCGCGATCGGCCAGTTCGCCAGGCGCACGCGTAATCTACTCTCGGGCTACGATGGAACGAATAATCAATATAACTTTTTGCAATTTTCTTTTATTTAACACTCCATGTACCGTCGCGACGGAAAGGAATTATTAACAAAGACGCGAAATCGTTCCTTTCGACTCGTTAATTCTATTCTTCGTCATCTTCGTACACCTGTCTCCTATGTTACATTTTCGTCTTCGAAATAATTCAGGTTGGATATTAAAACCTAGTTTACCGAATTTCACTTTGCTCGATATGGTTTAGTTCAAATTTTGACCAGATTCGGGTTATTTGCAGAGAATCATCTGTAAGTGTCGCAGCGAGGTTCGGGGCTGCGACACTTATAAATGAGTGGAACTGAAATTTGAACTCTCCCGGCTCGAACTATGTTCGGAAATAATGTCGAGGCTCGTTCGAAGTCATTAGTTTGAACGATGAGGATTACTAGGAGACAGATACGGAACAGATTTTTGCGACACTTATAGACGATTCACTGCATAATTTGTTCAAATCATGTTTGGGAACCTTTGAACCACGTATAAGTGAAAACAGTTTGCGTAAGGTCGTGGTTGGATTAATTTTCATCAGGAAAATATTAACCCATTGATAGTGCTTTAATGCAGAAATTCCTTTAATATTAGTCATATTATAATCAGGAATTATCCTCGTTATTGTTCTTCTTTGCACACGGCTAGTGCCAAGAACGATAAGACACGCACACGGAATAGAGAATAACATCCAGCAATGAGAATTTACTTTTTTATAGTTTCCAATACATTTGCTTGAAAGTACTACCAGTGGATTGTAAAGGTTCATACACTTATTTTCTGTCGCGAATGAGAAACATTTTGAGGAGCGAGACAGGTGTATGAAAACATGTGTCAATAGAATTTGAAACACATTTGAACAGAGTAATACATTGCAGAAAGAATACATTGTGTGACAAGAAATATTCGCTGTTTGACAGTATGGTAGTCATATTTTTTTTAGTCTCGTTGTACTTCATATACAGGGTGTTCGGCCACCCCTGGGAAAAATTTTAATGAGAGATTCTAGAGGCTAAAATAGGACGAAAATCAAGAATATTAATTTCTTGATTGAGGCATCGTTAGAAAGTTATTACAAAATTTCAAATCATTATGAAAAAATTATTTTCATCTGGGGGAGGCAATTACAATCATTTCTGGTGAATAGACATACCCCCGAATTCTTACGCACTTTCGAGAAAAAAATTTGAGTAGATGTGAAACTTTCGACAAAATTAAAAAATTTCAAATCGTTCTAAAAAAATTGTTTTTATCTAGGGCGGTCAATTACAATTATTTTTGGTGAATAGACATATCCCCGAATTCCTACGCACTTTCGAGAAAAAAATTCGAGTAGGTAGGCAAATTCGACAAAATTAAAAAATTTCAAATCGTTCCAAAAAAATTATTTTCATCTAGGGGGCTCAATTACAATCATTTTTGGTGAATAGACATATCTCCGAATTCCTACGTACTTTCGAGAAAAAATTCGAGCAGATGTGAAACTTTCGACAAAATTAAAAAATTTCAAATCGTTCTAAAAAAATTGTTTTTATCTAGGGGGGTCAATTACAATCATTTTTGGTGAACGGACATACCCCCGAAATTCTGCGCATTTTCGAGAAAAAAATTCCGCACAGGCGGAACATTAAACGTTAACAGCTTCTTAACAAAGCCTCCATCAACAAATTGGTATTCTTGATTTTCATCTTATTTTTGCCTCTAGAATCCCCCATTAAAATGTTGTCCAAGACTGACCGAACACTCTCTATACTCAGTTGTAAAAAAACTCACACTTCGATGTTCAAAATAAAAAATCGTTTGAACGTAATTGACGATTTTCGTTTGCCGAAATTGGGACTTGGTCGAACAGTCTACGACGCACGGAGAAATTGCGTACGACGCGGACAAGTTTAGAATAAGGTAGTCCGCGCGAATCGGCATCGAGCAACTTCGCAATAATGTTTCTAATTATATTTACACGCTTGAAATTAGCGGCGCGACGCGTTGGAGGAACTCAAGGATATTTTTCGCGAACGATCGGAAATATCCCTCCAACTACGCATCGCGCGTCGCGATCTTGTGTAACGGCGACGCGTGGCGAACAGGAAGCACGAATTTTCGTATATGGCGGGGCACGGACGGCGTACCTAGTTGGTCCGTCGTGGTTCGACTCCGCGTCTTTACCGAATTCCTGGCAACTGTGTGGGAAACCGAGAAACGACGTACGCAAGATGCACATTAGTCGCCGCGTAGGGAACTACGTGACGTCACCATGAATATGAAACTTGTTTATAGGACAGAGCGACTCGATCGTCGTCAGAATTCTGTGGAATAAGTTGCAGTTATTCGAAGGACCTTGACTTCATTACCGCGGACGCACACCTCGCGTGTCGAAATCGAGGTTGAAATTCCATCGGTAAAATCATCGGGGGAGCAAAGTTTAAAGTTACAGGTACCGATTTAACGTTGTTTCAAAGTACAACGATAGCATTCCAAAATAAAAACGATATCGCGTTCGCAGTTTCCTCGTAACCCTGACGATGCAACCTAATCTAACTGATTAGAGCAGAGTTTTAATAGTTGACTGACGTACGATAGGAGTTCTTGTAATTGAATATCATAACAACATACACGAAACGAATTGAATAAAGAGATATCAGGAATAAAATTAGGGTAATTGTATGATCACAGTATTATTTGTTGGAGGTATACATACGAAAGGAACAAAATAAGGGCGCAAAACGTGCGAAACGTTGTTTCTATCTAGGTTGTATTCGTCTTATCTACAGTGTGGGTGGACGCAGATCAATACGTTGAACGCAAACATAAGCGTACCGACGTATTTTGCAACGTATTCGGTTGCAAACAGCTATCGCATGATAAAGGACATGCAGTGACGTACAAGGTCAAAATGGGACTTGTTTATCGCGATATGGTTTCAGAAAAATAGATACGTCATCTCACCATAATTGATAAAAGAATGTACAGTTATTTACTAAAACACAGAAACAGGCACGAGTAGTAAACAGAACAGTCCTTTTATTATATCACTGGTTCGAGATGAAGGGTGGCACGATGAAAGGGCGAGTAGCGAAATATTCGCGCATAAAATGTAGATGATCTCTGTGATGCTAACATCGTCGCATAGGCAAACACGTGACCGTTGAAACTAGTCATAACTACGACGTACGCAAATAGCTTTCTAGCCTTTTGTTTTTCACTTAATGCATATGCATATAGTACCAAGCATGCTCTAAATGTTTAATCTATTTTTATCGGCGGAAATTCGGTCGGAACTACCAAATATGCAATTTGCGAGCCACGCGTGAAATCAGCAGTGTCCTTCGACTTTTTTTTTTCACTCCTCGACCGTACACACGTTCGATTGGTTTTTTTATTAAAACGTCGTAAAACTAAAGTCTAGACATATACCGACGACATGCGCCGGTAAAAGCACGCTGTCGTAAATACGTCGTTCGTTCGAGAAGCGTTAAGTTGTATTCAAACATCGTACGATGCCAATTGTAAAAACAGAAACTCATGTGCGCGGAAAAGTCGATGAACAATTACGTAGGCCGATTCACAGAACAAAGTAGACTCCATTCGGACGTTTGGCGCAAGTGTCGGCGAACTTTTTTTCAATCTATGAACGAAAAGTAACATTCTTTGAACCTGTTTGCGGTAGTTTAAAATATTTAAAGGAAACCGCGTAAATGCATCCACGACGATCGAATGGAATTTTGTTGATTCCCCGCGTGAAATTTATTTAAAACTTTCGTTTTCGCGCGTTACGTACGTGTGACGCACCGATTCTCGTGAGAAAGTCTCATGTTCGTATAAACAAATGAAGTATGAATTATAAACCAGTGTCGGATCATGTGTGACACATCTTTCCATACATTAAAAAAAAGGTATGTTCCGCCTCTTTCTCTTACGATGACTTTTATTGCCGTTTGTTGCTTCGGTTTCGCGTGCGAAAACAACTTTTTAGATCGGTGCGCACGTTTAAACGCGATTTACATTGGGAAAATATTCAACGACATGGTTGATGTATATTAATTGGTTCCTTTTATAAGGATAGTTGTATTTTTAGATCTAAATTATAAATAAACACGCGTTACGGCGATAGAGGGAAATTCTATAAAGAGTTTCCTTAATTAATTAAAATCGAGTTATGTATAATATTATGTAAAAACTTACGTCACCCTTATCTATGTTATCAGTGTGATGTCTAAAATTATAAAAATTCCTGTATACATGTGATTACACAATTGTGTTCCATCGGGTTTTCCACTTTTTATTTGATCGAATCTGGTTTTATCAAGTTCCGCACCTGCTATCAGAAACTCATAACTGTCTCAATACGATGTAGAGAGGTGAATCCGTAACAACGTGAAATACAAATTTCTATAAGTTCGTAGAATGCAACACTAAAACTAGAAGCTAAGCTCTCCCAATGGTGAAGAACCATTCACAGAATGAGTGACTGGGAATCACAGATAACGAAATAGTACGCAATAGTAATCAATAATAAATAAAGAAGATTAATGGCAAAGTGATGACATTAAGAAACAGTGTAACAAAATAAAGGCTTTGACACTACGTTTAAACGAGGCGGTTATCCAAGGAGGGTTTAAAAAGTTATTTTAGTGGCAATTTTTTTTATAGAGAATTTCATCGTAAAATAGATTGAAGTTGAAGTTGACACGAGGTTGTCTCTAACAAACGTTCAGCCATGAATTCTGAAGTTGCTGGCCTACTTGTAAGCGAGAGTATTCTGTTATTGCATTAGATTCGAAGGACTCTCTCGATGACACGTGTCATATTTTTTTTAGTCAAGCCACGTGTTTTGAACTTTTGAACTAGCGTGCATGTTGTGCTGCCCGACCCGGGGATCAAGCTGCGCGCAATCACCTTGTGTCCTCCTTAGCCTTAACCTTGGACACTCCCGGTGTCGTGTTTTCGCAAAGGGTAGAGTCAACAGCCGCGGAAATCCGAGATTATTGACATTGTCTCGTCTGGTTTGGTCGAAAAGTGACTGAGCAAACTCGCGCGTGCGTCGAGACTCTCGGAGCTTTCTCTGGGTCGAGTCGATCGACGTCAAATAGCTGGGTTCGTTCATAAAACCTCGCGAGCCTTGCTGCGCAAGACAGAAGAAACACACTTTTTAAGATGCAAATACGCGTCACTACGGAAAGAATCGAACTTCAAGCTTCGTTTTTTCGTAAACGTTCGTTTTCCACGATTAAAGTACATACAAGGATAGCAACTCTGTCGAGGGGATAGACCACCTTGATGGGGTCTAAAAATACCACAATTTTAAAACAACTTCTGGGAATATTTTGCACGGGATCAATAGTACATCTTGACGAATTTCTAGCTGACAGCCTCGACAGAACCCTCTCGGCCAGATGTTCTCCAACAGCTGTTGGGCATTCGGGGATTAACCCTCGGTCTACGAACTGTAATACCTACCCCAATGATGGGCCCTAGGTCAATTCGACCCACAAAGGGATGGTTCGTGTGCTCGTTTCGGAACGAACTTTTATATTGAATTTCTACGTAACGTTTCTACGCCGTTTTGTAATTGCAAATGATCGTAGAGCTGTATTCTACAAAGTCCCAGGGGTCTGCGAAATATTCACCCGACACCGTTCTTATCTTCGGTCTTTTTACGATCAATAGAAAGAGACGTTCGTGTTGTTCGCATTTTTCCATGTTAAATATTATCTTTAACGCTCCCCTTGGATCGGAAGACGCCGCCCACATCGGGGTTCGCGCCCCCACTTTCGAAAACACAGACGCGCGAGAAGAAATTTATCGAAACGCTCGTCCGTTTCTTTCTCCATTGAGAAATCGTTGCGGTTATTTTCAGAGCGATCGGTTGTTTATCGCTATCGATTAAGTGCACACACGGTCGCCGGGACAAACAAGTGTCATCGTGACGTCAATTCGCGAACGAGTGACAACAGTCGAGCGCCGTTTCGTGTATACGTTTATCGATGCGATTGAAAGTAACCTCTATAATACGCGTTGCATGCATATATGAATAGTCCGCTCGTACGCTCCTGCGATGCACTCGAGCATTTTCGTACCAATTACGTCACGAAAACGCGATGCGTTTTAACGGTCCGCGGAACTTTGCTATTATCTAGTTAATGCATTGTTCCTCGATCGAGGCGACCCGCATTCCGTGCATTGACTTCATTCCCCAATCGATCGTCAAACAAACATCGTCCAACCGCGGTGTAATAATAGTTTCAAGTCGCGCGCGAAGAATGCAAGTGTTTTCTTCGCAAATTCGTTGCATCTTTAGAAACTATAGTTTGTCCCAGCTTTTAGAGCCGTCCCGTATATCAGCGGCCGCGTTTGTAAAATCTTATCTCGCGGATGAAGGTTAATATTCAAATTCAACGTTAAGGGGCCATTCTATCTTGTAGGCATGAAAAATACGTGTTTCTTTGTGATTTTTTTTTGCGGGTTATTAAAGAGCGATTAATTCCGGATTTTGTAGATACATTTATTATATATTTAGCTATATTTACGAATTTTTGCAACGCATAATATCTATTGATTACGTTGTTTTTGTTGATCATCAAACAACAGTTTTTACGAACGGCACTCGACTGCGTACGTGATATCTTGCGAACAAGTTATTCGAAATCCTAAAACCAACGATATTCTTAATATAGATGAGTGTGGTTATAGCATGAACTAGGATCTTTTCAAAAAAACAAAAAATGGCAAAATGGCAGCTATTTTACGAAAAAATACTGAATATTTTCATATATTTGGTTGCTTTTTTGTTAATAAAAGAAAAAGTATTGCATATATCGCAATTATCCTAGTTCATGCTATAGGGAGACCAGTTCTGAAGATACTGTATAAATTTGATGTTGATATCTTGAATAGTTTTTTAGTTATCACGCACGCAGTGCCGAAAAATGTAGTTTTGAGAAAAACAGCTTTAAAGTTTCACGTCTAATTGTTATACCTGCGGGCGGTACATTTCAACAGGCTATAACTTCGTTAGTTTTCCGAATTTCAATTTAATATTTGGTAGACATATTTTCGAGACTACATACTAAAGGAAAATGCAATAAAAAAAATATCGATTTTTTTAATCCCACAAGGTAGAAAGGCCCCTTAATACTGTATCAGATAACTTTCTTGCAAAACTCGAAAGCCATGAGCGCCGCGATTTTACGAGTCTCGTTGTACGATTTGGAATAGTAAAAATCCTGAATAGTTTGATGTTTACAGCGGTAGACCCAAAGTTTCTGGTGACATTGTTTTGATAAATGTTACATAAGGATATGCAAATCGTCTATTTTAAAACGTACAACGGGACTCGTGCAACAACACGGCACGTGCGGCTTTCGAATATGAAAGAGTTTAGCGAGAAAGTCACGGTATTAAATTTGAATTTAAATAGTAGCCTTCGAATGCGAG